TAGTTTAATGTTCTCCTCTACAATCTTCAATGCATATATTGTAATTATAAAGTTTGTTTTAGATGCTTCTATTTTGAGTGTGAATTAAGTATTATTCTCTAGTCTGTCTGTTCTGTTAGCTGATGTTGCAGCAGTGCATCTGCTTTCCATTTGTTGATCCTGTCTAGAATGTCTAACAAAGATTAGCAGTGGCAACAGATGCCACTGGGATCTTGACACTATGGGGATTGGAAATATAATCCCTGTTTTGCATGTTGCTATATCAGTTGAGTTATAATCCTACATTCTGTGCCGCCACATGAGCCTTCCCAGAGTCTATAGCCACAAATGCCCACTAGAGCCATCAACACTTGGTACATCTGAAGTTAGTGGAGTAATCAGGAAGGAAACCATCCTGGCTTTGCTCACTACTCACTTTAAATAGAAGTTGACAGGTGTTATATATTGGCCAGTTTCTTGAGTCACACCTTGTTCAATACATGTAAGGGTGAGGTTTGTACTTCTTCAGTTCACAAGTTTTACAAAAATAGTTTGTTTCCAAACAGGAAACTCAAGTCCTAATGCTAATATCACACATGCTCAGATATTTGTTATCCTGAATTTGACGTCTTGTGCTGTGACAGTGTCAGCATCCCCTGGTGCCAAATAACGGTCATCGGCTGTTGGTTTCATTTCACTCCTATTGATGTGATAAGTCAAGTCCTGCTTTTCCGTCAAGGTATTCACCTTTGCATTTTCTCATTTCTTTTTTTTTTGGCTTATCTCATTTCAGTCAAGTGTTGAGTTTAGATGAGCTCAGTATTGCTGAATTTGTTATCTGATATTGCTTTAGGAACATTACAGTCACCCAAAAGAAGATGCCCAAATCGGTCAGAATGCTCCAGTGACCACAATTATTGGCCTTGAAAAGGAGGACAAAATTAGCATGGAAATTGACTCAGTGTTTACCCAGCAACAAGATGTTTATTGCGAAAGATAAAATATATTAAGAACAGCATTAAATGTGCGTATTGCCTTTGAAGGAAGATATAAAAAAATATTAGATATTCTGCAAGGCCGATTGTACAAAATTTACAGTGTATATAGTTTTTCCCACAGTGCATTAGCAAGTAATATCAGCCACAGTTTTCTTAGCACTATTTCTTTAGACTCTTGATTTTAATACTTTTTGAAATAATTACTACTGTATTTTACATATGGTTGAATGATCTGGGTTTTATCTTAAATTATTATTAAATAAATAAATAATATTACATTTATTATTGTTGTTATTATTATTATATTTTACTTATTTATTTAATTGTTAATGTTATTTTACAATGTTTAATGTTTTATTTTTATGTAACATCTACCAATAAGGCTGATCGTTACATGTTACGTTACAATTGAAATTATTATACGTTACTGTTATTATTTTATTAATTATGCCATTATGACATTTTATTAATATAATTTTTTTTATTGCATTGCAGATTTTGCTTGGTCAGAAGGGGTCAGTCTTATTTTCTCAACCCTGTTGCCATGATTTTGATTTTAAATCAAGCCATTGATTAAAATGTGCTTTGGTTTCAGGCTAAAGATTTAGCAAAAATGTAACCCCAAGCATAAACAATAGTAATAGAGATGCTTGCCTTAGCAAACAGCGCTAACACTACCATGGCTTGAGTTTCATGCTTGGCTATTTTACACTAATAGAGTGTTAATGAGCTCTGTGTTCTGATAACAAGTACAGTATGTCACAGTGCCTCTCTGTCTCTCTTTTTGTCGTCATGTCTGAGTCACCAAGCACCCCGCGGCTCTCGCTCTTTCTCCTTCCCCTGGTGCCCTCTCTGCCTGGCCCTGTCCCTCCATTTCTCCCCTCACTCCTATCCATTGCCAAACTTCCTTCCTGTTGTCCTTTCCTGGCATGCGTTGTGCACCAGCGTGCCAATGTTGCACCATTTTCACTATCAGCACCAGCAACACTCGTGGAATGGGACAGGGAATGGAAATCCGTTACTATCGCTCTGCCCTCCTGGCATGTGTGGACGAGCTCCTGTCAAGTTTCCAACCTTTCTGCCAGAGTCCCTTTTCAAATCGGAAACTGCGGCATATGTTATAATTCAGGCTTCAGATGAGGAGCTACAGCAGGCCGGCCATCAGAGCTGAGATTGGTTAGCTTAGACATTGCCTCCCATAAAAAAACTGAGCTGTTTTACAGGGTTTATGTTTTCGGTTTCATTTTGTGTTGACACTAGATTGCATTTGGTATTTTATGGCCTTTCTGGGATGTAGGAGTTCTGCTCAGGAATAGATGGTTAGGGCTCATGGTTGTGGGTGTTTCCGACCGTCGTGGAATGGGGGGGTTGGTTGTATATTTTTGTGTGGTGATTCGTCAAGGTGATGAGATGGAGATGCTTATTTCTTTTGTTATTCACTTTAATGGTTGCTCTGAGGTGCCTTTTATATCCCTCATGTAAATAATGACTTAGTTATGGCAACTTTTCATTAACTATTCAACTATTCATTAAAAGTTAACGGCATCTATCTATC